CCCACACACACAGTATATCAGATGCCGCAAAGTGCCTGACAACAAACCTGGGTGCTTTGTCACACCACTTCACACGAGAAGAGAAGCTGACTAGCTAGGAAGGTCCTCTTGATCATAACATTTTTGCCTCTGAGACACATTATTATATACCCTTAACAGGTCGAAAACCTTACCAATTTCACAGGGCAGACAAACTCAACATGCTTTGTTTGAATGTAAGTTAGACCTTTTAATTGCTGCTCACCTCCACAGTCCAGGGCTGTCATTTACAACCATAAAGGTGGTGTACTGCTCAACTCCTGGGCATGCCATTCATATAGAATGTGGCGCAATTGTGCCTCTTGCAGCTACTTAGCGTGGCCACTCCACTAATGTTAGCAGAATCAGTTTCCTGGTTCAGACCATATTTCCCTTTTGTTGTTGCTCGTTCCAATTCTGGGGGCTTGAACTCAGGGCCTAAGCACTTACCCTTAGCTTTTTCACTCAAGTCTGGTGCTCGACCACTGGATCCATAGCTCCACTGCCAGCTATTTGGTGGCTAATTAGAGATAAGAGGTTCATGATCTTTCCTGTCCAGGCTGGCCTTGAACTTGGATCCTCAGATCTCAATCACCTGAGTAACTAAGATTACAGGCATGAGGCATATATGAGCCACTGGCACCTGGCCAGACCATACTTAACTTAGCACATGCTATAGATCCATAGACCTTCATCAATTCTATGTGCTTCAGCAAAAGGCCAATTTTTGAGGTCTTTTGACACTAAACTTTTCTTTAAAGTTTGGCTGGATCTTCCAACTTTTCATGAGATGTGTGGCCTCCAGGCAGAATACAGGTGTAGTTAATTCCTGGCTACCCTGTGTGAATCAGGAAACAAATGCAGGGTCATTGTCACTTTGAATGAAACAGTCTCCTGAGGATGATTTCCTTAAGGAACACATTACTTCTCTCTCCTGGCTTTTGCTTCCCATTAATACATAACTGCTTCCTTACTTTAACAGTCTGAGTTCAGAAGGGGCTTGTCGGTCAGGTCAGACTCGTTAGCAAAGCTTTGTAAGGCCACTTACTACATCTGAACCCGAAGAGGGGGCTAGATACTCTGGAATGGTAAAGAATTTATGTGAGAATATCTGATCTCCAATTTAGCAAGGCAAGTGAGGGGGTGTACTTTAAAGGGTTTGTTTTCTTTTGTCCTGGTGTGGGAAGAGGGGAGAATTTCCTTCACATATGGGAGTAGACCAAGTTGCCCTCACATTCAAAAGAATGGAATTTGCTTACCCAGAGCATTTGTGATTATTCAAGGCTTCTCTAGGGAGATGGTCAGTCTCTGTCAAGGACATCATGGGCCTCCTCATGTCACTTCTGTGTTCTTGTGGCTAAGGTCCTGGCTGGCTGCACTTTTTGCTGGGATCAGAGACAATCTCCAATATCATGCTTCCCCTTCCATTTTGGAGCAGGAGGGATTTAATATTTCCCTTCTTATGTGCACCTTCACTCACTGAGAGTCTCAAGCCAAGGACCTGCCAGTCAGGACTGTAAGGTTGGCAGGCAGACAGAACCTGACACCTACCCATATCTTCAATCTTCTCTGAGTGATGGCTAAGGACCGAGCACAGAACAAGAGAGTTAAGTCCCCTTGTGGAAGATAGTGTGTGGCTGGAGGGGTCTGCAGTCTGGATTGGCACTTGGAAAAGAGGCAGTTGTGAGTGGAAAACTTTTTATGAAGCAAGGACATCCAGTGCATCTCCTACAGGGGCCCCCCAGGCCACTGTTCAGTTGCTTTTTCGAACACAATGTTAAGCAACAGACATATTCCTATACACGCAGGCACAGATGAGCAGAGGCTCACAAGTTGAGACAAATCTTCCTCTCTGTTTCTCCAGGGGTAAAAGGCTCAAACACACTTGTAATACTTGTTGGGCTCAGGCCAAAAAGGATTCAGGCTGGTCAGAAACCTTTCTAGCTACTGTGTCTGGTTTAAGAGCCAACTGTGGCACAGCACAGTCCACATGTCAGGTGCTTTTCTGAATACGTAACATCTATGAACTTGCTTCATTCTCACAAGAGCCTATGGCATTGCCAGTTATCATATTTTAGCTGGAAGAGGCTGGGGAATGGAGAGATAAAGGTCACACATAAGTAAGTAGCAGAGATGGAACATGCTCCTCCTGGCCACAGGATTTATACTGTTCATGGAATTAACTGAAAGTTCTTTTGAGCAGGCTTCTGACCCGACAGACCTGTGCTCTTCCTAATCTAGTCACTTGCATGGAGGTAGCTTGAACAAGTGGACTTGCTGTCCTTGAAAAACTGTCTCACTGAGTACTAGTCCTGCCTCCAAACACTCCATATGGGAGAATACAACCATCCTCCAGGGGAAAAAATCCAGAGTTTTTTTGTCATCAGCCCCAGCTGTGCAAATTCTCCTATCTTGTATGCGTTAGCCAGAAACAAAAACCAGTTCTACGTGGTATAAAGAGCTGGAAATGTCCACGTCAGAACAAGGATCAGCTTCTTCAAAACCCCAGGGTTTAAAAACTGCAGCTTCCAGTATGAGCTTGCAGAATAATCCAATCCTAAGAGGCTCTAGACTCCCTAATTGGGGTGGAATGTAGTGTCATTGAAAACAAGATTACAAAAGAGAATAGCTATGGTAGTGACTATGATAGAAGCATGAGCAACTGCCCACCTGCAGGGACTTTCCCAGTAATTCTATGGCCTCTGGGCTTTCTTCATTACTTCTGCTTTGTGCTTGGCTTACCATAGGACTCAGTTAAGGCCTGTCAACTTATCTGTTCTGACAAGCCTTAATTTTATGGATGTATGTGTCAAAACCATACTTTTTTCAAGAGTTTTGTTAATGAGGAGTGGGAAGGATATGGGTAGCTTGATGTTCACTAGCTGGGGGTAGAGGCTACAGATAACTTGGTGACCCAGGCCCCAAGAAGTTTCGCCTACCTCAGTGAGACAGCCCTGCCTCAGGGGCTCATGCTGGTTGGAAAGAGCAAGAAAAACTCAACTCAGTCACTTTAGGCCATCCCTTCGGAGAGCAATAGCTCTATTGAGTCATCCCTCTTCCACCATAAGACGAATCAAGGACAGGCAGGTCCCCATAGAAATATTATATTCTCCTTTGAGGACTGTGCTACATTTTAAGGCAAGTGTCATATGTACAAAACATCAGAGAGGGACAATGTTTATGAAAAATGTTACAGAATGACAGGGGAAACATTTCAGACAATTGCAGCACAATTGTTCCCAGTCAGAACCCTTGGTCTACTGACATCTATGTGGACTGAGAAACAGGGAGACATGGCACCTTTTCCCTCTTCCAGCCACACTGAAGTACCCTTCTCTGGACCACAGCAGCACTTCCTTTAATACAGGCCACTGGTTGGGATGCAAGAGCTCAACCAGTGGGTCTCATTGCCAGCTCTGAATTCCAAGCTTTGTAAAATTCATATTTAGAAATGGAAAAATCAGAATACTAAAGACATACTGCTTGTAGTTTAGTTCTCCTCTATCCAAACTTAAGCTTGTTTGGATTAGAGGTGAAACTTCACACACATACTTACATGTATGTGAATATATACATTATTTTATGTATACATATATATACATGGAAAAAAAAGTTAGCAAAGTCTGAAAAATAGTGTCTATTTGCAGTTGGTATGCAACAATGTGATTGTCTACTCTTTAAGGTATTTGCTTAAGCTCTGGCCAGTGGTAGAAGGTTCTGTTAAGCTCCTGGCCCTCAGGCCTCACAGGATACTGGAGTAGGATTTAGCTGGCTAGAAGAGCTGGGTCCTCCCACTGCCAGGTCAGCTCTGGGCCTTATGGCTCCTCCTCACCCCTTTCAACTCAGGCACAGCCCTTCTCCCCACATTTAAAAATGGTCTCTCCCCTCTTTATACCACCTTTACAATAACCATACATTTTTTTTAAAAAAGGTCTCACCCATCGGCACACACATCCTAAAGGTGTTTCCCCTGTCTGTAGGGCCAGGTGACATACAACAGGGATAATAAGAAAATGAATGAGATGGTGCACTGTGGACTTTAATGGCCTATGTGGGCTGTGTGGCAAAAATAGTGCTTGGACCTGGAGGTCACAGCAAAGTCGGATACATAGAGATGTGATGGAAGGTAAGGAAGAGGGTGTATTGGATGCTATCAAATGATTCATAAAGAATGAATGGCCCAATGAGTTCTGATTCATAAAGAGAACAGAGCCCCATTCAGGAAAGCTGCCCTTACTACAAGCCGCCACTTACATAAAGATAAGCACATAGCAAGCTGGGTGCCAGTAGCTCACATCTGTAACTCTAGCTACTTCGGAGGCTGAGATCAGGAGGTGGAAGTTCATGGTCTAGCAGTTCTGCCAGGAGGGCAGAAAAGCTTGCAAGACCCCTTTTCAACAGATAGCTAGTTGAATGCAGTGGTACATGCCTGTCATCCTCGCTAAGACAAGAAGCCTACAGTAGTCAGATCCCAGGCCAGGCCAGCATTTGGAAAGAAAGCGAGACAACTCAAAAATAATCAGCACAAAAAAATAGGGCTGGAGGTGTAGCTCAAGTGGTAGAATGCCTGTCTAGCCATGTGAAGCCCTGAATTCAAACCTCAGTACTGAATTAAAAAAAAAAAAAAAAAAGGAAGTGTATGGTAAGGTTGTCCTTTTCACAGATTTGCAGTTTGCCTCACCAGATCTCTCTGAGGTAGGTAAGAGGCAGGTGACATCGGCATAAGACTTGCTGCAGGTCATACCATAAACATTATCAACAGCCTCACTAAGTAAAATAGCAGATTTCAAGTTCTAAAGGCTTCCTCCCCACCCCCACTAGACTAACACTGGTATACCTGGTGCTGGAGGCATGTGGACCATTTCATTAATAAACTTCTTAATGAAAGGAGTCCACATTGGTGGAAATCAGCTAAAGCTCAGGAGTCTGGGAATGGGGCACCATATTTAGTACATGGGTTCCTTTTGAAAGGGTTGTTTTTGTAATTTTGTTTTAGCATGTGTTTTAAGGATTCTCATCAAATTATAATAGATTCATACACCCACATAGGTCATGTAACCTCATCATCTCTCCTCAGAAGATGTGGTCTTCTGGCCAAATCCTAGTGGTTGGACATAAAGGTGAAATGTTAGCAGAGTCTAGGGCCCAGAAGTAGACAAGTACTCCAGGACTGGGAAGGGAATGAGGACAACAGTGTGTATCTTTCCCAAGTGAGCAATCCCCTCTGGACCTCAGAACTTAAATGGTTTACTTAATGCTCCTGACTGTAGACCCAGCTGTGCTGATGCCAACCAGAGTATTTCTAAAGACATTGACAGCACTTCTGGTCCTCTAGAAGCCACAAACATTTAGCTGGAATACAATCCTTTAAATACCCGAGTCCCAGCTCAGCAAATTCCAGTCAAGGCTGAGAATTTGGTCATTTCTCCAATGACTACTTTTCGGGAGACAATAGGACAGGTGAACGAAAATCCCCAGGGTTTGCCCAGAAAGCACCTGATGCAGAGCTGCTGGGGCAATAGAGAATACATGTGGGCTTTCTCCATCTCTACCCACAGACTCCCACCAGCCCAGAATCCTTCTACGTGGGCAGCTCAAGGAGGTATTTCCACACAGAGCCTTGGGGCATCCACAGCTATGCGTGGACATGGAAGAAGCCAAATGTCAGAGTGTCCTGGTCCTTGGTCACCAGTTCCCACTAGGGAGCCCAACGCCTGGGCTGAAAAGTCATCATTAAACTGGTGACTGGGCCACAGAATTGCTCAGGAGACGCAAAGTCCACGAAGGCTGTGCCTATGTCTAAGTGGGCTGGCTAACCGGGCCCTCGGCCCAGCTCCTTCACAGCACTGACTCTTTGGATTCCAGTTCTGGGGCACTGGCTCCAGGGCCAGCGGGGTTCTGGTGTGTCACCAGAGGCGAAGTCTCCTCCTCAGCCTTGCAATTGGGGATGGCTTCTACCTTCACTTCTCTCAGCTCCTGCTCGTCCTTCTTCATTGCCTTCTGATTCAGGTGGTGGAGGATGCCGGCTCCCAGGGCATCCCCCTCTACATTCACCACGGTGGTGGTCCTGTCCCTGGCAGGGAAAGAAAGCGGTAGGTGTCATGTTCAAGGCCATCAGGAAAAGAGCTGGGAGGAGCAAGGCTTTGTCTCAGGCGATGGCCATGGGGAAGTTGTGACTGGAGGGATTTTGTTTCCTGGAAGGCATGTCACTAAGAGACTTGCCCTAAACTGATTTTCTTTGAACAATCTTTTACTCTCATAAAAATATATAAAAGTGGTGCACACGAGAATCCAATGTATAACCTACAAAATTAAGAAGAGTGAGGGAAAGAATGGGGAGGGGAGGGATGCGTGAGGAAAAAGGGTGACAGTGATCAAGATAAATTACGTGCATAATTTTTTTGTGAAATGGCAACTCCTTTGTACAACCACTTAAAAATTAAAAAATGTAGAAGCCTGGTGCCAGTGGGTCATGCCTGTAATCCTAGCTACTCAGGAGGCTGAGATCTGAGGATCATAGTTTGAAGCCAGCCCAGGCAGGAAAGTCTATGAGACTTTTACCTCCAGTTAACCACCAGAGAGCAAAAAGTAGAGATGTGGCACTACCCTTGAGCAGAAAAAGCTAAGGGATAGCTCTCAGGTCCAGAGTTCAAGCTCCAGTATGGGTCACATATGAGTATGTGCGCATACATATATGTGCATATGCATATGCACACACACTAGACCTTTGTTGATAGAAAATTTGAAGGAAGAAGATACAAGCTAATGCATATTTCACAACTCTGAGAGTTCTTTGTGGTGTTTCTCTATGCCAGTGAACATCATCATATCATATTGTATGTAACTGGAGAAGAAAGTAGATGTAGTTTGGCATCCAGCTCTCTTCTCCTTGGCATTCTCATTTTGGCCATGCTTCACTCCATGACACTAATCTCCCATGCATTCATTCTATGGCTCTGGAAAAGCATCACCTCACAGAAAGCCTTTCCTGGTCTTTCCAGAAGCTTTCTTGCTGCAAGTTAGCCCAATGGCCACTCCTGTCCCTAGAGCTTGGAGATAGTACTGTGCCTTTTTTTTTTCTGGGCCTGAGTGCTGTCCCTGAGCCTTTGTTCTCAAGGCTACTTACTCTTCTACCACGTAAGCCACAACTCCACATCTGGTGTTTTGTGGTTAATTGGGGATAGAGTTTCATGGATTTTCCTGCCCTGGACTGCCTTTGAACTGTGATCCTCAGATCTCAGCCTCCTCATAGGTTGAGCCACTGGTACCCAGCTGTACTGTGCCTTTTAAAAGAAAAGAGAGATAATGAACTCTTCCTAAAGGATGCCAGAGGGCTGAAGCCATTGCAATGAGACTGGATGCTCTGGGTAGCTGCGGGGACCCTATTTCCCTCCCAGCTAAGCACTCCACACACAAGGGACATGAGGGGTAGGAAAGACATAAGCATATAATACAGCTCTGATCCGGTCTAAGCTGCCAGCTTAGGGACAGAGTTCCCTCTGATAAGGTGTCTGGACAATAGGAGTCTCTATGGGATACTTCACCCTTATTTCTCTAAGGGGCCCCCAGGATTCGGAGTAGTCCCTTTGGATACAGGTCAACCCATGGCAACAATGAGATGTACAAGACGTTATGTCGATAAACAAACTTTACCCTTTAAACCATTCTTAACCCAAAAGCCTAGTGCCAGGCACCTTGGTTCAGGTTCTCTCCTGTCTGGTTGTGACTAGCCCCACAGGAATGCCTTCTTTGCTAAATAGTTATTGAATGCTCTCCTCTCTGTCCAGGATCTGTGCCCTGGGCCCAGCAGAACACAACACAGAAGAGTTCACATTATATAGCTGCTGCATAGAAAAGCTAGGACTTGAGTCCAGGTGCTGTGTTCCAGGGCTTATCTCATACCTATATGTTCTGCTGTGTGAACATCACTACTTCAGGTGGTCTTCACTATATATGGGTGTTATTTATACCTGCAAATGTATCACAAGACTCAAGGAATCAGCATCCAGAAACTCTTCTGCACCATCCCAGGAGGCCTGGAGTTGTTGGTCTGGATCACCTCTTTGCCTAACTTTGCTTCTCCTGAGCCTGAGGCCCAGTCATTCCCATTAGCAGAGCTCGTTCTCTCTTTGTACGGAAATCATCCTTCAGACATAGCCAGAGTAGGGACAACCACTTTCAAGTGATCACTGCTCTGATTACTTAGGATTCCGTGCAGCCAACAATCATAGGCCTTTCACCCCTGCGTCTAGGATGAGGGCCTTGACCCTGGCAAGTTTTCAGTAATAGTACCTCATCATCACTCATGAATGTTCACAGACACTTGAGCTCCATATTGCTTAATGTTTCCTGTCTACAAATCTGGCCCTGCCAGCTCAGTCTAGGCTTCTTCACAAGGCAGAGGTGTTTTAAGTTTGTCCTCATGCCCCAGGCTTAGCAGAGTGTCAAGCACCTAAGGAACTCAATAAGACTTTCTTTCTCAGTGTCCTCAGAATTTTCTACTCACACAATCCAGTCCACAGCAAGGATCAGAGAGAGGTCATGAGTGGGCAGCCCGATGGCCTCCAGGATAATGGCGATAGTGAGGACCCCTCCAGCTGGCACACCTGCTGCTCCAACGCTGGATGCCGTGGCCGTCACGCTAGGGGATGGCAAAGCAATGTCAGGCACTCTCACAGAGCACAACTGGGGCAGAGGGAGCACAGAGACATGCAGCCAGGCTTAGAAATGAAAACTACTCTACCATCGATTCTAGGGACTCAGGAGACAGACTGTACTCTCCCACATACAGTCATCCCGCCAGATCCTCAGATTCAACCAACGATGGGTAAAAAATATTTTAAAAATGTGTCTTAACTGAACATGTACAGACTTTTCCCTCTTGTCTTTGTGCCCTAAGAATGCAGTGTCACAACTATTTACATATCATTTAACTATAGCAGGTGTTACAGATAATCTAGAGAGGATTTAGAGGACATGGGAAAATGTGAGTCGCTTATATGCAAATGTATAAGGGACTTCAGAATGGGAGGACAGGGAGCTCCTGGAATCAATGCCCCCAAGATAAGAAGGATGATGGTAATGAATGCACACTGTCTGCATTTACAAATGAGACCCAGAATTGTGGTGAGATTGGCTTTTCAAAGGAAATCACAAGCCAGGTGCAGTTATCCAAGCCACTCAGATTCTGAGATTGGGAGAGCAGAGTTAGACTCAACCAATACACTGGGCAGGGTAGTTTGCTCCTGTTAACTCAGCTATGCAAGAAGTATAAACAGGAGTATCCCATGTCTGGACATCTTAAGACAAAAAAAAGCAAGACCCTATTGAAAAACTAAAACAAGCAAGAAAGGAAGGGAGGAACCTCAGGTTTTGAGCCAGGCCTAAAGATGAGGGAAAGAACACCAAGCTTACAGAATTGTGAAAATCTGTCCTGCATTCAGCTCAAAGTTGTTGAGCTGGGCGATGAAGACTGCAGCCACACACTGGAAAATGGCTGCTCCATCCATGTTCACAGTGGCCCCAATGGGGAGGATGAACCTGCTGATGCTCTTGTCCACACCATTGTTTTCTTCAATGCACTTTATCATAGAAGGCAGGGTTGCTGAACTAGAAATGGAAAAATAAAACACCGTCAACCCTCAGAGTAGCCTCTTCTCAGACTCTGGGACTGAGGGGTTAGCAGCATTTGAGTTCCTATTTTTCCTTGAAATATGGGGAAACCCAGAATTGTTTCAAAGTTTCTAGTGTAACAGGAGGCTTTAATAATTCCCAAATTATTCACAATTTGACTTTCTGGATTTAGATGTTGTTGATTTACCTGTTCTAAATTTCTCAAGATCCAATGTAGCCTCAGGGTAAAATGCTCCCCAACTAAAGCCTGGTAGTGCACCTGCCACTAGGCTGCCCGGTTCTATACCGATGTGGCTCAGAGCAGCTAAGGCCACCCCAAGCCCACTCACCTGGAGCAGGTAGCAAATGCTGTCGCAAATGGTGTGAGGAGGCCCAGGAGGAATTTGAATGGGTTTTTGCGTGTGAAAGCAAAATAAACTAGTGGCAGAACAATTCCTCCATGAATAATGTGGCCCAATATGGATGCGAAGATGTATTTCCCAAGGCTGGTCACTAACACGACAATGTCCTTCATTTCCACAATCTTGCTTCCAACCAGGAACATAATGCCCACAGGGACATACCTAGGGTAGAAGCACAAGGTACTACTGGTCAGGACGGTGAGGAGAGGCTGAGAGATAGACACAGAATACAAGGACTTTCAATTAGGCCATCACCTCACTCTAAGATAATCCTGAGGGGCTTGGAAGTTGGCTCAGTGGTAGAGCGCTTGCCTTGCTTGCCTGAGGCCCTGGGTTCAATTCCTCAGCACTACATAAGCAAAAAGGAAAAAAGCCAGAAGTGGCGCTGTGGCTCAAGTGGTAGAGCACTAGCCTTGAGCTGAAGAGCTGAGGGACAGCACTCAGGCCCAGAGTTCAGGCCCCATGACTGCCCCCCCCACCCCCCCAAAAAAAGATAATCCTGAGCACAGAGAAGGACTGGGGTCAAACATCCCCATTTTATCAGTCATGAGACTAAGTGAAATAAAGTACTAAGGGTACTACTTCCCTTGGACACATGGGTTGTTTTTGTTTGTTGGTTGGTTAGTTTGAGGCAGGGTCTTTCTATGTAGCCCATCTTCTTGCTCCACTCTCCTGAATGCTGGGATTATAGGCATGTACCAGAACACCTAACGCTACCAGTGTATCCGATGATAGATGCTACCATGTACATGAGCTTCCAGGCAGAAAGGCAAGGGACCCAAGATCAAAAGCTCTGAGACTTGTGAACTGGACTTTCAGTTCTGCTCAGCCTTATTTTGGGAACTTAGAAACAGGAAAGACTAACATCTATTTCACAGAATTGTGATACAAAGCTGGGACTTGTGTGAAGTTTTACATTCTTTGTGGTTTAGAAAACATGATCCCGTGGGAAAAAGTCATTAACAAAGACTCTCTGGGAGCACTGCTAGAACGTGAAGATTTTTTTTAAAGGCAGAAGAGGAAGGAATAACTTTCGGGAGCTACAGAGAACAAAAGTCAGTTGTTCAGAATGTAAGTCAACTCAGGAAAAAGTTTATAATGTGGATTTAACTTGTAAATTTCAAGGGGGTACAACAGAGTAAATAGTATGAAATCTTTCTCACATCTGTTCCCCAAGCTCCCAGAGTTCTCCAATGTCACTGGCTTCTTAAGGATTCTTCCTGGACATCTTCTAAGTGGTATTATTAATTTCAAATCTCATCACCATACATAAAAATACATTCTCTCTTCAAAACTTAAAACATTATAAACATGACCAAATTCCTCTTTGGACATCAACTACTCCTCTGCTTACATCTACTTATACTTTTAAAGCATTTATGTATGTAGGAATGCATTTTAATTCTACGTTTGTGGGGGGGGGGGGAGGAGGGTAGATGAGAAGGGAGGGTAAGGGGAAACAAAGGAGGAGGCAACAATTCTTGATAAGAAATGTACTCATTACCTTGCCCATGTAATTGTAACCCCTCTGTATGGTATTTTCACACACACACCAAAAAAATCTACGTTTGTTTCTCACCCTGATCACACCTTTGAGATCTTTTCCTATCAGTGCCTAGAAATCTACACTATTCCTTTCATTACTACGGTGAAATGTACATAACATTGAACATTTCAGTCACTTAGGTATCAGTTCAGTGGCACACTGCTAGATGGCCTGCATCACTTCCTTTCTCCAGAACCACCTCCTTTCTTTTCTCTTTCTTTTGTGCCTCATAACTGGGGCTTGAATTTGGAGCTGGGGTGCTGTTTCTTAGCTTTTTCACTGAACGCAGGCACTGTATCACTTTGAGCCATAGCTCCACTTCTGGCTTTTTGGTGGTTAGAGACAGAGTCTTATAGACTTTTCTGCCTGGGTTGGCTTCACACTGCAATTGTCAGATCTCAGCATCCTGAGTAGTAAAGATTACAGGTGTGAGCCACTGGCTTCAGAACATTTTTATCACCTAGAAACTCTACCCATTAACTAGAACTCTCCCCTTAATTTTCTCTTTTACCAGCTTGTGCCTTATAACTACTGTTGACTTTCTATTTGTCTACAAATTTGACTGTTCTAGATATGCAAAAGTAGAATCATATATTATTCCTTTTGTGATGGCTTATTTCACTTAGTATGATGTCTTTGGGGTTCATCCACATGTAAGAATTTCACTCTTTTTTAAGGCTCAATAATACTCCATTTTATATATTCCATATACCTTTTAGCCATCCATCCACTGATGAACTTTTGGGTTGTTTCTATCCTTACCTTATTACTTAAAAATATTTCTTCAGAATGAATAACCTGTAGAATACTGTAGGTTGTTTTGCTATTGTTGTGTTAATGGTCATTTAAATTGATTCCAGCTACTTATCATTATAAACACCATTGCAAACAGATCCCTCTGTGTCCACATACCTGTGTCCTCTGACAGGGGATACCAAGAAGAAGTGCAGGGAGGGGGGGGAGGCAGGGGTGTGTGCACACTTTAATTTTAGTGGGTACTGCTGACTCAGAGTGGCTGCTCCAATTCTCATCCCCACCTGTGGTGTAGAGGAACATAGTCCTCCTGTACCAGTTCACCAGGGAAGATTTGACCCCAGGGAACTCCCGCAGGTACCTTGAGAACAGCTTTGGCTGTTACATCATAACTATGGCGGCCTGCTGCTAGTGGCGTCTAGATGGAGGCCAGGATGCCACCCCTTCCCCACCCACTTGGCCTCCCCCACACACAACAGCCCTTCACAATAAAGAATGGTCAGCCCAAAATGTCAAAAGCACTTTTCCTTACCCTTATTAGTACCTGGTAAAAACCCAATGCTCATTCCTCTGATTTCTAGTGAGATTGGGCAGTTCTTAATATGCTTACTGCTTACTTAAGTCTCTTCTTCTATGAATTGCCTCCTCATATAACTTTTACATTATTCATATACATTTTCCATATTTGGTCTTTTTTAGTGAGTTCAGTGAATAGTCAGGTGTGCTAATTTTTTTTTTTGGGGGTCTAGTCATGGGGCCTGAACTCTGGGCCTGGGCACTGTTCCTCAGCTCTTCAGCTCAAGGCTAGCACTCTACCACTTGAGCCACAGCGCCACTTCCGGCTTTTTTCTTTTTGCTTATGTGGTGCTAAGGAATTGAACCCAGGGCCTCATGCATGCAAGGCAAGCACTCTACCACTGAGCCACCTTCCCAGCCCCACTAATTTTTTTTTAAAGACAAAATCTTGCTATGTAGCCCAGGCTGATCTCAAACTCATGATCATCCTGCATCCACATTCTGAGATGCTTTGGTTTCAATGTGTGTATTTGGAGGAAAAAAAGAGTTACTATTATTGAAAATTCTCCCAAACCTGGTTGAGGTTCTTTAAATGTGAAGGCATTTAAAACTCCAATTTTAGGCAGAATGTGTTGGCACATATCCATAATCCCAGCACTTTGGAGGTGGTGGTGGTAGATTCTTCTGAGTTCAAGATCATCTACATAGTGAGCCCCTGTCTCAAAAACCACTCACCCACCCAACAAAACCCTCTAAATCTGTGTCCTGTGTACTTTCTGGACAATGATCTCCCATTGCAGTCAGATATCTGCCTCCCTGTTGATGTAACTAACCAGGACATCAGATTGAACACTAAATTGATTTTGGGATTGAAAACAGATGCTCTAACCAGGGAGTACTACTTTCTTGCATAAAGTTTATTTTATTGTAAAGTTGATGAACAGAGGGATTACAGTTGCATAAGTAAGTTAGTGAGTACACTATTTTTGGGGGGGGGGGTCGGCATCATGGGGCTTGAACTCTGGGCTTGGGAGCAGTCCCTCAGCTCTTCAGCTCAAGGTGAGTGCTCTACCGCTTGAGCCACAGCGCCATTTCCAGTTTTCTAGTGGTTTATTGGAGATAAGAGTCTCACGGACTTTCCTGCCCGGGGCTGGTTTTGAACCGTGATCCTCAGATCTCAGCCTCCTGAGTAGCTAGGATTACAGGCGTGGGTACATTATTTATTTATTTTTTGCCAGTCATGGGGCCTGAGCTCTGGGTCTGGGCGCTGTCCCTCAGCTCTTCAGCTCAAGGCTAGCACTCTACCACTTGAGCCACAGCACCACTTCTGGCTTTTTCTGCTTATGTGGTGCTGAGGAATCGAACCCAGGGCCTCATGCATGCAAGGCAAGCACTTTACCACTGAGCCACCTTCTCAGCCCAGCGGGTACATTATTTTTAAGTGTTACTGCCTCCCTCATTTTCTCCCTCTCCTGTCTCCCAACTCTCCTCCCCCCAAGATGTAAAGTTCATTTTAAAGTGTCTAGTGAGTTTCACCCTTCGTCCCACCATTTCTGTGGTTACCCTTCCCTTCCCTAAATACAAGACAAAGGGTACAGAAATAAAAAGTGATAACAGGGAATAAACAAAAGGAAAAAAGAAAAAGAACTGCAAATAGCACACTTAAAAAAACCCTCATTTCCATTTCTTGGCGTTTATTTCAATAAGTATCATTTTATATGGTCATATGTACCCCACTCCTAGGCATTTACCCAAATGACCACAAACAAGTCCACACTAAAGCTAACAGCACAACCATATTCATTGCAGTATTATTTACCATAGCGAAGATATGGAATGGATCAAAAAAATGTGGAATATATACACAATGGAATTCTATGTTTCCATCAGAAAAAAATCACATTGCCCCATTTGTAAGGAAATGGAGACTTGGAAAAAGTTATATTAGGAAAGTAAGCCAGACCCAAAGAAACATACTCTGCATGGTCTCCCTCATTTGTAATAAGGTTTTCTTTAATCCACACTTTGGGAGGATTTTATACTGAAAAAAAAACAAACTAAAAAAAGAACTTTCTATCTGATGAAATAGCTTTCTCCTCTTCAAAAATACCAGTTCTTAGCCCAGCTCATCAACAGTCCTGTGAAGTGGCATGTTTACAGTACAAGAATGAAGCTCTGGAATATCAGATTGAGCAAGAGGAATGCCATGAGGAAAGTGTCGATTTGGCCTCTCACTTAGTTTCAAATTTTTAACATCAATCCAGCTGGCACTCAATGCCATTGGAAAGAACAAAGTTCTGGGATCTTCAAGGGTTGACAGTGAGCAAATACTCTGTGCATGAAAACATCAGCTAATTCTTAATAACAAATGGTTATCAGCTAAAAGCCACAGAGGTCTGGTATGGGTGAAATACCATGCAAAGCTTACACAGGATGAACACTGGAATTGCTCTGAGGGAACTGGTCACATTTTTACCTTTTTTTCTTTGCCAGCAATTAATCTAGTGGTTTATATTGAGTAATCATCTTTTCACTGCTATTGTGCAAAGGAACATTAAGGAAATCAAAGCTTACCTACAAGACATCACAAGTTATTCCTTCTGGCTGGGTGGAGATGGGTTGTCCTTGATGTTGTGAAATGATATAGTGAGGGACCTCCAATCATTTTAGGATACATGAACCTTAGTTTATGCAGCCAATAGCACAAGGAATTCATTGCTTTATAAAATGATCTGGGCAGCCCATATAATATGTGCTGACAGTGGGTCAATGTGGACGCCAAGGAGGGCTGGAAACTGTTGTATCTAATTCTCTGAGGTCCTAGACAAGAGAAGACATGCCTCCACCTCCATCACCTCCTCTACTGAGACTGGTGCCAATAACATACAGAACACTAGGCCAGGTGGCTCCTGTCCCAGGTAACCTAGAATGGCAGACAGGTCCTTTCCAGGATGTCAGGGGAAATGTGAGGGAAAGGAGGCAGCAGGGAGACAGACACTCACCACATGATCCACGACACCAGCACCATTGTTGCCTCATTGAAGGAATTGAAGAAACGGATGAGCTCTTCTCCCTCAGAGCCTAGCTTCTTTAGGGCCACCCCAAGCATCAGGGCAAAAAGGACCAATCCTAAAATGTTCATCCCTTCAATCTCAGTGCTGATGGGTACCTGAAAAGGAAACGGATTCAGCATAGTAAAGCAGAAAGTAGTTTGCCATTGATCCAAGTTCTAGTTCTGGCTTGCATATTAACTTCTCTTCCTTTAGGTTCTCCATCTATAAGAGAAAGTGAGTTGGACTCAGTAGCTCTCAACAGGTTGGTTTTAAAGTAGACCTTTTCCTTTAGGGGTTGAGCTCCTTTGTCCTGGGGTGAGAGGTACATGTGTGAGCCGGGGAGAGGGCAGAAGTACCTCTTCACTCTGGTGACAGACCTACCACACAGCCTGGGCTGGAAAATCCCTGAGGATCTCTTGTCCCTTTCAGCTCTATCATGAAGGCTGGGGCCTGGCCTGGTGTCTGGTAAATGGGCACTCAAAATTAGTACATACATGCTGTCTAGGGACTTTGCTAGTTTCCAAACTAACTGGAGACTTCCAAGCAAAAGGTACAATGAACATGAATTATACCAAGGACTTAGAATTCAAATACACAGTAAATACTGGTTCCTTTTTCATTTTTCTTTTAGCTTTTATTATGAGAAATTTCAAATCTAATAGAAAAGCTGAAATACAGGATGGTGATGCACCAACTACACAGCTTTTGTTTCTATTGATATAGAAATTACCAGTAATACCTACATTACTTATAGAGGAAGAATATTTGGAGCCTGACTCCCACTACTTCTAGCTACATGAGGTAAGGTAAATTTCTTAATCTCTCTGTGCCTCAGTTCCCCATCTATTAAATGGGAATAAAAAAGTAGCTGACAAATATTTGTTATGATGACTGAGTGCACTTATACATTAAGTACTCAGACTATCCCTGGAAAATGAAAAATAAAAAAAGAATTAGCTGCTATTTTGTTATGGATATTGGGTTAGAATTCAGTCTATGCTTGCTTTATCTGGAGTTTGTTCTTCTCTAACGTTATGATAAACCTATAGACAATAAGACTTCTGAACAGCACTATTTTCTCCCAAGACTTGGTCTATTAAAGCTGTAGGGGTTAATTAACTATGGAGACATTAGATTGGATTTTAATGCTTCCTCTACTGCTAGCTTTTAAGGAAGGTCACTAGTAAAAGTCAACAGGATTCTATGGGGTGTATGGCTAACACACAGGTTTGTCCACTAACATTTTATTTTGTCAGTAGTGCAGTTTGAATTTAGGACCTTGAGCTTGCTCAGCTTGCTTGCTCACAGCTGGTACTCTATTACTTGAGTTATACCTCCAACCCAGCTTTTTTCTGCTATTTTAGAGATGGAGTCTTATGAACTTTTTTTGCCCAGTCTATTTTTGAACCACAGTATCCTCATGAATAGTTAAGATTATGGGCATGAACCATCAGCATCTACCTTTTACATGTTTGTTTTTTCCTCTTGATCCATGTTCTGTGTCCTAACTGGAATTGACAGTTAAGAATGGATGCAATCAGAAAACTTATGTACTGAGCAAAAGTTAGTTTTAGAAGTCTGCAATTCTAAGGTATGGTGTTTAAGATTAGGCTTTTCCAGAAAAGGAAATGACTTTCTGACTTGAGGCAATACCAGTAATTTCTCCAATGAAAATATTCCTTTCTGTAGAGAAAGCTGGTGGCAGGTGGGTTTAGAACAAGGTGTGCTGCACTGCAATACACTTAGAACCTTGGCATTGACCATAAGCTAAGAGAGCTACAACCAGAGCTGCGTCCTAAGCTGTGCTTTGTATACATATTCTGTTCCCAATGCCTATACCACTCATTCCCTTCATTAGGAGTTCTGCAAGAGCAGAACTTTGCCTTATATATAGTGGCTGCCAAATAAATCAGTTTACTGAATTAATGATTGAATGAAAGCCTAGGTAGGAGTTGTGCACCTACAGCAAGTTATTACTTGGGATCAAAGTAAGCATGGAAGAGAGCCATGGGGCAGGGGCCTTTCCATGTGCCCTAGGGCCTCTGGGCTCCACTTCTCACTCCATCCCTGGGACAAGGATTACTCCTGCTATATCTTTATGTAATCTTATAGCCTGGAAGCAGTGAGGATGCACTGCTCCTCCTGCGGCTGGTCTTCTTGCAGTCCTAGCTAAGTTTACAGCGAAGACAAGGGGATAGCAGCATTGCAGTGGGGGAATCAGGGCAGCTTGGAGAAGTCATGATGCCAAACTCCAAAGGTATTGCAGGGATAAGCTGTGTTCCAGCATTGCTGCAGCATTGCTCTTGGCTTTGAATGGTCATGCTCATCCTCAGAAGACCGTCAGCTAGAATCATTTACAATGGGGATAGTAAGTCCCACCAGAGCAGGCTGTCCCAGGGTTCAAATGACATGTCAAAGGAGAGTGTTGACTTCATTTTACACATAAATAGCTTTTTAATGCAATGTTTTCATATACATTGCATGTTCCAAGAATATCAAATTGATGTTAAACACAAGAAAAGAAACATGTATTTTGTTGTGAACTTCACTCTATGTGATTTGCCATTTTAGAAAATGTATCACCAAGACAAAGTGCTAATAGCCAAGTCCAAAGGGCCTGTGTACACTCTACAAAGCCTACTGTCAACCTGGAGTCACAGCAGGGATGGTCAGGTGATTCTATGTACAGATTCAAAACTGGCTACTTAGCATGCAATTCAAAATCCCCCAAAAGGGGAAAATGCCAACATTTATTTTATATTTTTAGAGACAGTCTTGCTATATTGCCCAGGTTGACCTGAATCCTTACACTCGAGTGATTCTTGTACCTCAGCCTCCACGTAGCTGGGATTATAGGTATACAATACTATGTCCAGCTCAGTTCACTGATTTGAAATCAAAATTTATTCATTCCAAGTCTATACAAATACCTGAAAACTTGGTATAGCTTTTAATAATTGTGCATTTACATAGCAAAATATGGATTGTTTTATTATTTATTACTTTGATTTTTAAACAGTTATGTGTGTATGGGGTGAATTGCAACACCTATTAGTTATATTCTAGGATAGTAGAAAAGATGTTAGAAAGTATTTTAAATATTCTCTGAAGATTTGGTGGCTGTGGTGGCTGTATTGGCATTTGGCCATAGTGACAAACTACAGAAGCAAATCTAATTCACAGGCTTAGAATAGTCCATTCAAACTATGAAGGTGTTGACTCTACTAAGAAAAGATTTATCACATATGTTCCTTACATAAGGAACATTGTACACTTTATACACTATTTCTTCACAAGAGACTTTATAAAGAACTCTACCTTCTCACGGGTCACATTTCCAAAGTTGTTGGTGCGGTTCACCACGTCATAATCAGTTGCATACTGTGATAAAGAAAAAAAAAATAACCCAGGTTAATGCCCAAGTGAAAAACAACCAGGGAAACTGAGGCACATGTGACCCTGTTGCTGTTCTGGCACTGTTCCCAGGGAGTGTCCTGGGCATACCTCACTAGCTTGGCTTGATGAGAGCCTCTGAGAACTGGATAAAAATTCCACCAAGACCAAGCCATCATGTACTTCGAGAGGACTTTGGGTTATTTAGGGACCCAATGAAATAGAGAAAATTCCCATCTGGTGCTTGGGCAATGGTTTGGAGAAGACATGCTGATAATATGATTTCTCTCAATAGCTGATATTTCAACTTACTTGGCAATATTTCTATAATGTCAAAGTTCACTTTTTAATGTGAACTTTTTCACTTTACTTTCATTCATTTCTTTATGCCTCACTTCATTCCAAACTTGTTTGAGCATGATTGCTCTTTAACATCTGTTTCTAATCTGGCTAAAGCCTCCACTCTCCACAGCAAGAGCAAGAGGGCATGAAGACATCTCCCCAGGCTTGATCCTACAGTTAGGGTGACTCCAAATACCTTTACAAGGTGCTCACAGTTATTTCCTGTGGCAGTCCACAGTACTGGTGGAATCTTTTCACTCCTACTAAGGAAATGTGGACCTGTGGAAATCTAGAACTGCCAGAAAGAGGCCACTTGGAGATAGAGACCAGAACCTGCCGTGCATCTGCCTTGGATGAGCTCTGGCTTCTCTCTGTTTTGATTTACCAGGGTTTTAGAAATGCAGAAGACTTCTGTGTCCACATACAGATTAAAAAAGGAGAAGTTGGGGCTGGGAAGGTGGCTCAGTGGTAGAGCGCTTGCCTTGCATGCCTGAGGCCCTGGGTTCCATTCCTCAGCACCACATAAGCAAAAAGAAAAAAGCCGGAAGTGCTGCTGTGGCTCAAGTGATAGAGCATTGGGCTTGAGCTGAAGAACTGAGGGACAGCGCCCAGGCCCAGAGGTCAGGCCCCACGACTGGACTCCCCCCCCCCCCCAAAAAAGGAGAGGTTGTAAGTAGAAACAGAAAAGACTTTGCTTATGAAAAGCAATCAGGTTAGACCACTTTATCTAGTCCATTCTATCCCTTCCCTTTGTGAGAATGGCCACAGGTTGTTCTTTGGTGCATTGTTAACAGGGAAAACTAAAAGCAACCTGAATGCCCACCAACAGAGGACACATGGGAGGGAAATGATGTTATCCATTTAGATTGGCACGTTCTACAGCCATTAACATTATGTTGAAGGATTTTTACCTCTCTGGGAAAATGTTCATAACATACTGCCTTTAAAACAGTAGTTGGGGTACATATTAACAATATGTATGGCAGACTTTTGATTTTTAAAACATATAAGAGAAAACAGCTAAGAATGCACACAAAATGTTGATAAGGGGTATCTCTAGAGAATGACTATAGGTGAGTCTTTAGAACACTTTAGAAAGTTTTGGGTTTTTTGTTTTTGTTTTTTGGTCTTGTTTTTATTTTATCCCAGGTGTTCATCTATAGAAATCTGTGCCAAGGTTATCAAGTTTGGTTAACAATTTGATCTTCCCTATTCTATCTTATGTAACTATAGCAGTAATTTATATATTCTCCCTCCCCCCATTAAAGTTTCATATATTTGGCAAAGTATAATGCCTTACCGTGCGGAAAGCTGCGACCACAAGATTGGAGGGAAACAGATTTCTGTAGGAAAACAAAATCTTTCATCACTCTTAAAACCCAGTTTACCAATATTTTGCTTTGCTATGCCTAACTCCATGTGATATCTCCTACTTCCCAGCAGACACTTCGGTCCTTGCTTGACCTAAGTACTCAAAATGTACCTCAACTGCTCCTCTTAATCAGCATTTTTTTTTATTGTGAAAATACCGTACAGAGAGGTTACACGAGCAAGGTAATGAGTACATTTCTTACCAAGCATTGTTGCCTCCTCCTTTGTTTCCCCTTACCATCCCTTCCCATTCCCCCCACCCCCAGCGCCAAAGTTGTAAAGTTTGTTTTTCAACATAACATCTTTTTTTTTTTTTTTTTTTGGCTCCGGTCGTGAAGCCTGAACTCTGGGCCTGGGCACTGTCCCTCAGCTCTTCAGCTCAAGGCTAGCGCTCTACCACTTGAGCCACAGCGCCACTTCTGGCTTTTTTCTTTTTGCTTATGTGGTGCTGGGGAATCGAACCCAGGGCCTCAGGCATGCAAGGTAAGCGCTCTACCACTGAGCCACCTTCCCTGCCCCTCAACATAACATCTTGTACATCTCATTGTTGCAATGAGTCCACCTGTATCCCTATTTAAACAATTTGTTTTTTTCACTTCCCCTCCCCAAATTATACCAACATCAAATACAGTGAAAACAGGGGTTATACCGTGGGGGAGGGACATACAAAGCAGCAAAGAAATCATCTTATAAATATGTTAGAAACAATAGCAAGAAAGAAAAAACATTTGAGTCCTTATCTTGGGGTTCATTTTGTCTAACACCAACTTATCTGACCGTTTCTGCTTGTCTCAGACATATACTAGTTATTGCAAATAAGGGAAATCATGGGACCTATGTTTCTTTGGGCCTGGCTTACTTCACTTAATATAATTTTTTCCAAGTCTTTCCATTTCCTAACAAATGGGGCAATGTCATTCTTTCTGATGGAGGCATAGAATTCCATTGTGTATATATACATGTTTTTGTTGATCAGCTTTTTGAGTGCATCATTTTTATACTCTTCTCCCAATGCTTCTCTTTTTTCTTCATAAAGATTTAATTGCCCCCGCCCCCCAATCCCCACAGGGAGGCTGCCCGGCCTAACCCTCAGAAGGCTGAGCGGGCACCTCAGGCCTGCAGCCCCAGCCAGCATCTGTGGTGAAGAAAGCAGTATCAGAGATTAAAAAAAAAAAAAAAAGTTTTAACTGGGTCCAGCCAAACTTAGTAACTGCCTTGTTTTCTTTTAATTCAAGTTTATTGTGGTGCTAGGGATTCAACTCAGGGCCCCAAGCTACTACTTCTGCCCAAACAAGAGTTACTATTGCAATAATTGAGAGCCACTTCTGGAATTAGAGGAAGAGTAGGGGAGAGGGGAAGAGACAGGTCTGAGACATTTGTCTCCACAAGTACAGCAAAGTTCTGTACGGTGAATTTTCTCAAAGTCTTTATGGTCCCAATGTCCTGCATGACATGTCTTAAAGACCTTATTTATAGTTACCTGAACTTGAACTAACTCCAACATAAGTGTGTATGTGTGTACTGGTCCTGGGGCTTATACTCAGGGCCTGGGCGCTGTCCCTGAGCTTCTTTGCTCAAGGCTAGCACTCTACCACTTGAGCCACAACTCAACTTCCAACTTTTTAGTAGTTAACAGGTGATAAGAGTCTCACAGACTTTCATGCCTACGCTGGCTTCAACCTACAATCCTTATATCTCAGCCTCCTGAATGGCTAGGATGACAAGTGTGAACCACCAGTCCCCAGCTTTGGGACTTTTTTGGGGGAAGAGGGGATTACAATTTGAACTTGCACTGACTTTTTCAGGAATGCCATTTCAATGTAAATTATGGGATGATGATTTGCTTTGTTCAGAAAGTTCCCAAGGGGCTGGGAAGGTGGCTCAGTGGTAGAGTGCTTGTCTCGCATGCATGAGGCCCTGGGTTCGATTCCTCAGTACCACATAAGCAGAAAAAACTAGAAGTGGTACTGTGGCTCAAGGGGTAGAGTGCTTGCCTTGAGCTGAAGAGCTGAGGGACAGCGCCCAGGCCCAGAGTTCAGGCCCCACAACCGACAAAAAAAAAAGAAAAGAAAAGAAAAGAAAAAGTTTCCAAGAATTGTTCATCTTTCTAGAAAATCATACCGTTAGTACTTACCCCCACACCTCCTTCCCAAGCATCAGTATATTATAGCTAACTCATTGGCAGGTGTGTGTGTGTGTGTGTGTGTGTGTGTGTGTGTGTGTGTATGTGTGTGTGTGTGCGCGTGCGCACGCGCACGCATGTGTGAATGCATATGGCGTATGTGGGTGTAGGGGTGGTGGTACTGGAATAGAACTCAGAGCCTCACATATGTGAGGCAAACACTTTCCAACTAAGCTACATCCTCAACCCTCATTTATTCATTCACTCACTCACACACTCATTCTTTTGTTTAGAGGCAGAGGCCTCTGTCTCTGTCTCTAAGTGCTAGGATTATAGGCATGTGTCACCATGTCCAGCTATCAGTGATTATAGATTTAAGGCCAAGAATCCAGTGTTGGAAAGTAGCTCAGTGACAAAGTGCTTGCTTAGCAAGTGCAATATCCTGGGTTTGATTCCCAGTACCAAAAAAGAAAAGACAAAAAAACCCCAACAAAACAAAAACCAACTAGAATCCAATTTCTTTGTTTTAATTTAGAGCACTTAAAAATTGAAGCATGCTTCATTAGAATTATTTTCTTTGGTCTTTCATATTAGTTATGCCCTTCTGATGCATTGAACTTATATATGTAAATTCTATTTATGGATTCATTTTAGAATGGATTTTTATAAAGGACTTGTTATAAAGGAGGGCAATAGAATTGAGTGAATCCAAAATCTATCCATGCCAAGTGTTTTGTTCTTTCTTTAGGTCAGGAGCTATGTAGGAAGACAGTCTTTATATACGAGTTGTATTCTAACTAACAGTCCATTTGTTCTATATACCTCCTATAAGAACTCTGGAAGAGCAAACAACTCAGGACTGTCTTTTATGTATTGTGCTAGACCTGTCCTTAGATTCTTCTGTGGCTGGACTGCTCATTTAGCAGGCAACTATGTGTAGCATATTGGGTTTCAGATGTAGGTAGGTATGGTTGTAATTTAATGGCAGATAGAATCTAAAATGACTTCCTATTTTCACTTACTTGTGTGATACTTTCCTTGAATGCTGGTAGGGCTTCTGACTTGTTTCTAACAAATAGAATGCACTAACGATGAAAAGATGTTCTTTCCATGACTCTACCTTCTAGTAGACTCTCCCAATTGTCTTCTGGACTTGCATACTTTAGTGAAGCAAGCTGCTATTGGAAAGGCCCATATATCAAGAATTGCAGGTAGCCTGTAGCCCTAAACCAACTTGCAATCAAGGTTCCCAGTCCAAACTTCAAAGAACTGACTTCTGTCAATAATCATATGATCGCTAAAATGAATCTTCCCCAGTACAATTTTCAGATGAGACCCTAGCCCTGGCTGACCCCTTGATTGAAACTCCGTAAGAGACTTCAGAGCAGAATACCAAAACTCCTGACTACGGACAACTCTAAGATAAATGAATGGTGGACTATAAACTACAACCTTTGTAGGAATTTGTTATACAGCAGTAGATTGCTAACAAACCAGCCACTAGGACTGAGGAGATGTACAAACACTTCATTAGCATTCAGGGTGCTCTCTAGGATAGCCAGAATTTAAAGACTAAAATACAGCATTGCAGGGCTGGGAAGGTGGCTCAGTGGTAGAGTGCTTGCCTTGCATGCCTGAGGCCCTGGGTTCGATTCCTCAGCACCACATAAGCAAAAAGAAAAAAGCCGGAAGTGGCGCTGTGGCTCAAGTGGTAGAGTGCTAGCCTTGAGCTGAAGAGCTGAGGGACAGCGCCCAGGCCCTGAGTTCAGGCCCCACGACTGGACCCAAAAAATAAATAAATAGAATAAAATACAGCATTGCCTGAGATTACTGGTCTTGGGCACCTGAATTGCTTTTTAACATATGCTAACATATGTTGACGAGAATAGCAGCAGATACAAGCCTGCATGCAAGCAGAAAACAATGTTAAATTGTGTAAAAATCATAATCAGAAATTTGATTCTTATCATGGGTAAATTTGCTTCTAAAAGAAAAGGTAGCATCTTGCATTGTCTAGGCTTTGGTAGAGAGGTAAGTAGTAACAGACATTTGACTATTATTTCCATTGCAAAGCAACCTTCTTGCCCATCTCAATCTTCTGGGCCAGGTTTAGACTCTCATTTCTATTTGCCAGAGCTGTCAGAAGCAGAAAGAGCCCCATGCCAAAGTTTCCCTGTTCTACACCACCACTTGCCAACTGTCAGTATTGCCAGTTCCATCTGGCCACACCGTTTTCTCTGTGAGGACAGGAAAGGTCAAGAAACAGCCAAGTTAGAAAACCCCTACCTTCCTCAAGGGGAATGATTTTCTCATCAATACCTCATACTCATCAGGGATTAGCGGCTTCCTTGATGAATGCATGTACAGGCTTTCACACTATTTGGAAATGTACTCTCTTCTAAAGAACGCAACACTCTAAATCTTTGGGCCCATCCTGGTCTCTTTATCACTAATCTGATACTATCTCACACAGAATGAGCCCTAACCCCAGATCTCTCTTCAGATCATCTATAAGATCCAATGAAAACAGGGGTACAGGCAATACTGAAAGAGAAAGGATAACTCCTTCCAGAAAAAAATTAAGCTCCTAAAACACAATGATTTTGGCAGTTCCTGATCAAGTTAAACATACATGTTTCATATGACCTAGCATCTCCACCCAAGAAAAATGAAAGCATCCTGAAAAGAGAGCTCTAGGTAGAATAGCCCCTAGCCCAAATGTCTATAGATGATTAACTAAGCAAGCATTTATCTATGAAAGTTTTATGTGATAAATCGGATTGTGATGATTCTATATAATGGAATACTACTTGTTAAGAAAAAGGAATCATTTACTGATATACACAGTGA